TTTCCAGACTTACTCTGGCCTCCCACCGCTCTATTTTCCAGCAGCCAGAATGCACATTGTAAAACACAAGTCAAGTCCACCCTATTCCTCCCCTGCTCAAATTCTCTGGGGCTCCCACTTCAGGCACAGTGAAAGCCCTAGTTCTCCCCTGGCCTATGAAGCCCTGCGTGATGTAGCCCCAGCCAGCCTGTCTACCATCAACCCCTCCACTGTCCCCCGACTCTCTGCTTCGGCCACACAGGCCTTCTCCTTGCTCTTCTCTTTCCCTCTGCCTCGGACATCCTTCCCAAGGCCTCCATGCAGCTCACCCTCACCTCATTCAGTCCTCTGCCCACATGCCATGTCCTTGCAGGGGCCTGCCCTGACCACCTTCCCTCAAAGAGCCACACCCTCCTCCCTGGGACTTCAGCCCCCTGCGCTGTTTCACTTTTTCCATAGCGCTCAGTTGACCCTTTAGATTTCAGATTATGTTTACAATATATATTATATGTGATTTTACTTGTTTATTGGTTTCCCCCATTAGACTATTGATCGCCATGAGAGCAGGGACTTTGTCTTACTCACCACTCTATTCCCGGCATGTAGCACAGTGTCTGGTGTCCAGCAGGGGCTCCATATATTAGCGGAATGAATGACTACAGCTTAAATAAACAGGTACCTTCGAGGCCCTCGTGCCCTCCTGCCCCCTCCTTGGCCATGTGCGAATTGAACAAATCTTCCACAGGGAACAAAGACCAGGCTGATGGCACTACTCACGTCCAAGGGTCCTGAATACTTAACAGTGGGACCAGCCCTTTGCTAAATCCTTGGTACACCTTACCAGATGAAACCTAGAAACAACCCAAGAGGTGGTACTATGATGGCCCCTAGATGACAAAGGTGCAACTCAGGCACCGAGAGATTATATAGCTTATCACCATCACATATAGGAAGTGAACTGAGGACATTTGAATCCAGAGTCTGTACTATTAACCATTAAGCCAAGAATATAGCTTCCCAGAGAGAAGACCCAGAAGCTGACTTTCACACCCAGTTGGTCACTAATTCATTTCAGAACTTCTCTTGAGTGCAGGTTTGTGAGGAGGCAGAGGGAGCAGTGCTGGGGCATAGAGGGAGTATTGAGAGGTAAGGCCTTCCCTCTAAAGGTCTGCCTGCCTCCCTCCATCCCTCCCTCCCCATGTTGGGTCCCCAGATCCTGACAGCCTCAGAGGAATCCTATGCCAGATCATCTCCCACTAATTGGCTTAGCAAACTATGCTTATCTGGGAAAAGCTTGGGCCCAGTGAGTTCAAGATTAGGGAAAGCAGGATTCATGGTTTACTGCTCTGCTGCCCACAGGGTCAGAGAAGACAGGGCTAGGACTTTAATTGGCTTAACAACCCTGAGTGGCTTAACAGCTCCGAGGGTTAGGGTTGGGCAAGGAGGGATCAAAACACAGGTTGCTGTCCAGCTCACAGCCAGCTTCCATGTCCCACCAAAGGATCTGTGGTTGATTTTCTCAGGGATCCATCTGTCTTTGTGTGGGGCCATTGCTCCGGGATCCTCCCATGCAGCCAGTGTGGGGGTGCCAGAGATAGGACTTGGGCTTGGGAGATGAAGAAAGCTGGGCTGGCACCTCCCCTCCCCCCACTTCCTCAGTGGATGAGTTTGGACGAGTTACTTGACTTCTCTGAGCCTCATTTTCTTGTCTGATTGGGTATATCAATTGCCACCAGAGGGGAGGTTTCAGGGTAAAATGAGATCCAGTGTCTAGAGCACCTCATCTGGGGCCTGTTGGGACGAGGTGGGTGCACAGTGCCCATGAATTCCTTCCCCTCCTCTGCCTCCTCAGAGCCCCATTTTGTGTTTAAAATAATAATAGCACCCATTTCACAGGGTTGTTTGGGAACAGAATCCGGCCTAATCAGTTGAACCCATGTGCTGTCACAGGTCTGTGTTACCTGGCTCCTCAAAGTACTGAGACTTTTGATTCAGCATTGTATAAGCTTGAGGAGTGGCAAGCAATTTTTATAATTCAAATTATTTTATTCAGAATTGAGGGTGTGGGATCAGAAGGTGGACTGGCCAGTCTCCCAGCATGGGTCCTGTAGGGCTCAGACACACCTCACCTTCCTCATTACTCCAGGTTTTACCACTCAGAACATCTGCACCAAGGCCTGCTGAACAGTGAACATGTTCATTGTGGGAACATTTCACGTGGTAAGCGAACATATGCCAACATTGCTTAATTTCTAGGAATGCCAGCCCCAGTGGCTTCTCTCTATCTTGTCTGGGTTTTCTTCCATTTAGCCAGACCCTTGGCCATTTTAGAATCCAGAGCTTTGGGGACAGGAGTCCAGAGACTACAGCTCTGATAACCAGACCCAGAGTCAGAATTCCAGAAAAGGAAGGCTCCTAAGGTCATCCAGATCTGATATTCTCATTTCACATACAGGGAAATTGAGGCCCAAAGATGGGAAGAGTCTCACCCAAGGTCACCTAGCGAGCTAGTTACAAACCCTGATGTAGCCATGGGTTTCCTGATCCACGCCCCCAGTCCAGCACTTTCCCCACAATACACACTCTCTCCCCATCCTTGCCCACAATGTTCAAATCCCTCCCCCGCCTTTCACATTCTTATCTCAGTGCAGCAGAAGCTCTGACTTCCTATCTCCTGGAATCTTGGGATCTCAGGCTCATAATTCTTTGAGCTTGGGGGACACTTTAGTGGCAGAACTGCAGGGTGGATAAATTGAACTTGGGCTTTGAAGGCAGAGAGTCCTGAGTCCCAGGTCTTCTATTCCTTAGTTGTGCGACCTTGGGCAAGGATGCCCCCTTTCTGAGCCTCTATTCCCTCAGCTATTAAGTAGGAATAACAATACAACCACATCCCAGGAGTATTAGGAGGGACACAGGAGATGAAACAGGTAAAAAAGCAACCAATAGGCTTGGCACAAAGTGATTGCTTAATAAAATAATTGTTATAGAACTATAAATTAGGGCTCTCATACCCCTAATGCCTAAGTGAAATGGTCCAGATGTGATCAAAGGGAATGAAACTGGACAAACTGAAACAAATATACCCTGTCTAAATTGCTACAGGCCTGATACTGCTAGATTCCTTTTTTTTTTTTTCCCCAAGAGAAGCTAGAACTCTGGATTTTTGAAATACTATACAAGCCAAACAAGACACTTCTGTATGCCATATTCAATTCCGGGGCCATTAGTTTGTCATCCCTGCAAAATCATCTCATCCCAACCCCCTCACTTTACAAATGGGGGAGAGTGGAAATAGCCCTTTTATCTGAGAATCTATGGTGCTCCAGGGACCCTCAGCCATCTCCACCCACTCCCTTAAGACCTCCCCCCCCCATGGTCATTTTTTGCCCTGTTTGAGGGAAACTCAGTTTATGTTCAAGAAAGAAGTATTTGTTTTTTGTAAGTAGATTCTGAACCAGGGGAGGAGGGGGTTTGAGGTAGCCAGTGAGTTGAGGGGCAGCTGGCCCACTTTAGGCTAAAGGGAAAGGAGGATGAAGCTTTGGCTACCAAGAATAGGAAGTTACCATTTCAGAATCTAAAAATATCTATCACCATCTGTCCACTCGGGCACAGAATGATAAATGCAGATTAGTTCCTGGATGTAGACATGAATATTTTTATGTGTCAAGCTAATAATAATAACACCACCTTGTGTGGATAGAGCTCCACCTCCATATTCCCTCAGGGCAAGCTAAATGGAATATACACATCATCTCAGCAAGGCATGGATGGGGAAACCAAGGCAGAGAGAAACTCAGCAACACAACAAGGGTGACACAGCAAATGAGCAGCTGGGACAAACCCTGGGAGTCCTGTTTCCAACCCTCAGCCCAGTACTGAATCTTCTGAGTTAGGCAGAATGTGTTAACAAATAGCAGAATAAATACAACAACAGCAGTAATTACCCTTTACTTCTCTATAGTGATTTTGACTTTTTCCATGCTTTCCCCACATCTGTGATCATGATAATCTATTACATTCCTAAAATACATTACAGTCTGCAGGGCCTTCACGCAGATCTCCTCTCACCTGACCATCCCAACAGGTAAGAAAATGTGATGGCAGACCAATGAGATGAGATAAGGAAGGATTCTCCCTCATTTCACAGGTGAGGAAACTAAGGCTTGGTGGGAGGTTTATCTAAGATCACATAGTGGGCAAGTTCATTCTGTCAGTGCCCAGTAGAGCCTAAGCTACCAGAGCAACTCTGATTCAAGGGGAAGCCCAGGTTCAGAATTCCCCGTCTCCAATTAGCTCAGCTCAGCAGACAGCCTGGAAGTGGGCTGCTTGTACAAAGCCTCAGTTTTGTTTCACTGCCCTGGGATTAAAGGACAGCTAGTGGCCATCTAATCTCTGATTCAAGATCCAAAGTCCCCTCGGCCCTGTGGGGGGTAGGGGAGACACTGGGGGAGTCCTAAGCAACAGAAGAAGCCAGACAGCTTCTCAGCAGGGTCTGGCTCACCCTTAACCAGAAGTCCAAAAAGTTTGGGCGGGATATTCATTTAGCTACCTCAAATTCTGTTTCTCCCAGGAGGCTGGGAATGGACTGCAATTCCAAACTGAGAATCTTTTGAGAGCAAGGAAGGACTTCTGAGATCTTTCCTAAGCTGAGGCTTGGCACTCAGGCAAAGGAGTGGGTCAAGGCTGGAGGGAGCCCTGGGGCCCTGTTCCAAGCTTCACACATCCCCTTCAGCCCTGGGCCCTCCTCATTCACACCCCCAAGGATCACTTTCTCTTCTTGCCCCATCCCTTCTTCCCTCAATGGCCAGATCAGAGAGGATGGCACTGGGGTTGGTCAGAGTTTGAGGGCAGAGGTCAGAGAGAAGCTGGCAGAGAAGAAATCAGAACTGCAATAGGGTGGGGCGGGGCGGAGGTCAGGACGCAAGGGGGTCTGGAGAGGTCAGAGTAGGGCTGGGGCGGCAGGTAGGCCCTCGCCACCCCCACTCCTCGAGCTCAGCTCCCTCCACCTGCGCTTCTCCTACCTCCAGACCTGGCCGAGCTGCAGGACGTGGACGAGGGTTTGCAGCAGCCAGACGCAGAGGCGGCAGCAGCGGCGGCGGTAGGCGCTGGCCGAGGAGGGCGCGGGCCCGGGACCCAGCTGGGGGCTGCCTTCTTTGGTCCGGAAGGTGGCGGCGCTGTCCTTGGTGCTGATGGAAGGCCCGCAGGTGCCGCTGTCCTTGGTGCTGACGGCGGGTCCCGGGGCGCCCGCGGGCTCTGAGTTGTCGTAGACGAACCAGCGGAAGCTGAGCAGCTGCACAACCAGCGAGGGCAGGAGCACGAAGAGCAACGTGAGGCCGAAGTAGGTGCGCTGACCCTGCAGGTAGTAGGAGGCCGCCAGCCACAGGTCCGTGGCGCCGTCGGAGAAGAACACGAGCAGCGCGCACAGCACCCAGAAGCAGTCCCGCAGCTCGTAGCGCGGCCCCGAGCCCCCAGCCCCGGTCACTCCGGGGCCCTCGGCCGCCGCCGCCGCCGTCTCCCCGCGCCCGCCCGCACCACTCCGGGCTCCTCCGGCCGCCCCCTCCGGCCCCGGGCCGGCCGCGGCCGCCGCTCCATCCGACTTCGCGGCCATGTTGGCGGAGCAGGAGGCGGGGAGCGACTTCCGGGCGGCGGAGGGGGTGGGGTGCGGAGTGGGAAGGACCCTGTGCGGGAGGCTCCCGCCTCCTCCTCGTCCTCCTCTCCTCTTCTTCCTCTTCCCCTCTACTTCAATTATTCATTCCCCTCGGCGCCTCCCCCGTCCCTCCCCGACCCCGCCAGGGCTGCGGCCGGATGGGCGCAGGTCCCCAGGGAAGGGAGAGGGGGAGGGGAGGAGAGGGGAGAGCATCCCAGGTCACCCTCTCCTTCCTTCCTCAGAGGCGTGGGGCCCCAGCCACACGCTTTCTGCCTCTCATCCCCACCCCACTGCACTTCCTTATTTCCTCTTTTCTTCACCGCCCCCCTCTCCGTCCTCTCCTCTTCCATTTATCTCCTCTGTTTACCTCCAGTGGCCTAGGTCTGAGGAGGGTAGGGGATAAGGGACTTGGAAGCAAGGAGCTGCCTAGGCGGGCACCTCAGGAACTCTTTAGCAATCACTGGATGCTAACAAGCCATTTCCTAGTTTCCAGAGTGTTCGCATATTGTTCCATCCCCGTCTTTGATCTTGAAGAGTCCCTTTTCCTATTGTCTTTTTCTTACTGGTTTGAATGAGAAAATTGCAGCTCTGAGAGTTGCTGTCTCTTCCCCACTTTCCCCTTTCCCTTCCTCAGGGACTGCTTTCATCGGGCCACAGCCCTAGTAGAGTTGGGCAGGGAAGGGGCAACATCAGAGGGAAGGGGATGGGAGCAAGCACCAGGTAGAGGGAAGAGCAAGTGCAGAGGCCTGCAAGCCTGAGATTTGAGGGCACATTTTCAAGCTGGACCACAGATCCAGGGAGGTAGAAAACTGGGAAAGATGGGGCTGGAGAGTTCTGAGGGATGAGACCCTAAAAGTCCAGAAGATGTACTTCCCAGAAGCAATGGGAAACCACTGCAGAATTTGAGCAGGAGACAAATGTGATCAAATCTGGATTTGGAAAGAAGCCCCTGCTGCCAGAGGAGAGAAATGCTCACTAGGAAACAGCTTGAGGGTGGAGAAGCCAGAGAGAGAATATACCAATAATTTAGGAGAGGAGGTAGGGTTACTAGTACATCCTGGATACCCCAGCTCACCCCCAACCCTTTTGCTCAGATTGGATGTATCAGGCATTTATTGTACAAACACTCATGCAGCAGTTTCTCTTTGCCAGGGACACTGGAATCACCATACAATTACTAATTCACTTTATCCTCACAATTTGTGAGGTAGTTTATGTTTTTTCCTCCCATTTTACAGATGAAGAAATTGAATCACAGAGAAGTTAATTCATTTGTTTGGAGCTACACAGTTACTCAGTGCTAGAGCCAAATTCAAGCCATCATGTGGCCCTAGAGTAGGCTTTGCTAGCTCACAAGGGGAGGAGAGTTTGGTGAGAAGGGGAAGAAGGAGGGGGGGAGGGGTGGCTTGAGGACCACCCTGCTTCAGAGTAGCTGGGAAGGGAAGATAAAGGGCGACAGCTGCCCTGGGTCAGGAAGGAGCAGCCATCTGCAGCCCTGTAGCCCAGCATCCCTTTCGTGTCCAGGGACTGTTTTGGTCCCAGCAATGCTCAGGAGGTTGGAGAGCCAGCTGTGGCCCAAGGCTGAAAACAGAGAAGGAAGAGTTAGGGATTAAGGGAGTTTTCTAGGCTGGATTCAAAGCTAATAGTCTCTATCCGCAGGCATGTGTGGAGTTTTTGTGGGTTGGGCTGGCGGGGAGTCTGAATCCCAATGTGATTCAGTCAGGAACAGTATCTTTTCCCTTTTTTTCTGTTCTACAGCCCTAAGTAGGGAGACTCATGGAGTGCACAGAGGCCTGGGCAGAGGAAAACTCTGCCCTTGGACCCCCTAATGGCCCTGGGCCAGTTCTGTACATGTCTGGATCTCTGCCTTCTCACAGGTGCCTGGATGGGGCCTGACAGTTAGGTTCTCACCTCTGGGCCCCACCCCAGTGGAGGCAGCTCCTCTACCTCCCATGCCTATCCACATCCTAGGATCAACCTGTTCAAACAGGCAGTAGATGACACGTTTTTATGTCTGAGACTCTAGAACCAGGAAGCCTGGGTTCAAAACCTACTCACCTCTTCCTGACTACATGACCTTGGGCAGTCACTCAATTTCTCTTAGCTTCAGGGAAAAAAGCAAAATGGGGAACTGTAACCAGTGCTTTCCTCCTGGGGCTGGGGTGAGGATAATTAATGCTAATTATTAGCTAAGGTGATGCCTTCCGCAGAAAGCCCTCCCGGATCTCCCTCCCAACAGTGCCCTGCTCCTTATCCCTCAGAGAAGTCTCTTTGACACTACCCTGTTACGAGCTTCCATGACATTTTAGTTTTTTCCTTCTTAACATCAGTACACTGACAATTTATCTTTTTATGTGTGCCTGTTTGGAACTGCCTGGGAGCTCCATAAGAGTTGGGACAATTTATCTATTTTCTTCAAGGAATTGCTAAGTGCCAGTGCTGTGCCTGACACCCAATAGGCATTTTATAAACAACGCTGAATGCATGAGTGAGTGATCAACTCTATGAAATAGCTTCCATTGTTCTCCCCACTTCATAAACCAGGTAACTGACACAGACAAGGGCAGTGACTCACGGCACTATCAGTCCTTCTGTGTGTCAGGAATTGTGCTAAGAACTTTATGGATATTACCACATGTTATCCTCCTTTTTTTTTTTTGCACGAGGAAACTGAGACCCAGGCAGGTGCTTTCACTTGCCCAAAGCCATTAGTTAGGAAGTAGCAGAGTTGGCATTCAAGAACTCTACTTGGGGCAACTGGAGCGGTGACAGAAGAAGGATTTGATGGGCTGTCTGAAGTGTGGACCAGGTGGGCGTGACCCACCTATCAGTGGGACTGTAGAGGGGGGGACCCTGACCTGAATGGTTTAGACTAGTGTGTTCTAAGTGGCCTGAGATCAAAGATCGGGCATTCAGAGTAGGACCGATAAGGGAGTACAAGAATGGTGTTTTAGTGGAAGCTGTGTGGGGAGCGGGGTGCAGAACAGCTTGAGCAAAGGCTCTGCAATGGGACTGAGTCAGGCTCATTTAAGGGCTGAAAAGAGGCTGGGTATGACTAGTGTGGAAGGAGAAGGTGGACCACAGCTGTTTAGAACTGGACAGGCCCTAAGATCTTACCCAGTTCCTCAACCCTCTCTCTCATTTTGCAGATAGGAACACTGAGGCCCAGAGAGAAGTCCCACATCTAGCAAGTAGCAGAAACCAATCTGGGAGCCTTTCCTTCATCCCCAAGGGCATGGTCTCTGAGCTTTGTTGGGAATCTTGGGAATCACTCTTGGGAACATTCTTTATCATAGCTGCAAGTTCAATCCATGCCTACTGCACCTTCTGCTTGGACCAGTTTCTAATAATTTTCCTTTAGTTCTTGTGTAAACTATGCACAAGATAATTGGCACAGCATTGTTTATAACTGCAAATATTGGGAATGACCCAAATGCCCATCGGTAGGGGACCAGCTAAATAAACCATGGACTTTCTGACAACAGAATGACAGGCGGCAGTAAGGGAGGTGATGGAGCTCTCCATCTCCTAATACAGAGAGGCTTCCATGGGGACAAGCAAGAGATAGAATGGGGGTGGGGTGGGGAGTGAAGCTGGGTGAAAGGGAGGATAATAATCTATCTTTGTATTTGTTGTATATGCACAAAGAAACTTTGGAAGTCTATATAAGAAAATGAGATTACCAAAGAAGGCACTGGACAGAAGGGGAACAGGGTGGGAGAGGGAGACTTCATATATGCCCATTTATAATTTTTTTTTGGAATCATGTAAATGTATTTACCTATTAATAAAATAAGGTAATAATGAGGACAGCTGCTACTCAGCTAAGGCTGAATGCTGTCATACGGGAATAAGTGGTCAGTATGGTCAGATTTTCTAATTACTCAAGAGAAGCCAGAAATCTGGATTTTATTGTACAATCTCTTGGTTTTTAAATGTTGGCTCCATTTTTGCTCAGACATTTTTCAGGCCAAGTAAATAGGTCAGTGGGTCAGACACGGCCTGAGGGCCACCAGTTTCAGTCTCTAATGGCTTCCTGCTCCCAGGGCTGGAGTTCTCAAGCACCCCAGGGCCCTACCCCCATGTGGGCAGCAGAGGACAGAAAAGCACCTTGTCGTGCCCCCCTCTCCTGGCACCCTCAAACCCTTGCCCCTTGGGGCTGTGACATTTGGGGCTTTTAACTCAAGATCTGGAAGGCAGAGAGGGGTTATGAACTCTCAGATAATTCCCTCCCCCGGGGCCCTGCAGGCTTCGAGGCCCAGCTGCCTCCCGCTGCCCACCCATCTGTCCCTGGGAAGTGGGGACCGGAGTGAGGCTGGCAGTGATGGGGGTGGGCCTCAGATCGCTGGACTCTGTCCAGATTCAGAATCCAAAAGGAAAAATCTAGAGACTATGAGAAAAGGAAAACGGGCTTGTCTGCACCTACTTGGTGTATGCTGAGTTAATTCACCAAATTACTGAATGCCAGAATTGGGAAGGCCCTAGGGGACCATGTCATCCAACTCCTTCCTTGCACAGATGGGGAGACCAATCTCAGCTCCCCACCCACTGCCCCAGGCCGTAGCCTTGTCACCTCTCTCCTGGACAACTGGACTGCAGCAGCCTCCTCATTAGGCTCCCTGAAGCCCCTCTTTTGCTCCTAATGTTCAGTCTCCACCCTTAGCCAGAGGGGTCTTTTTAAAAAAGAAATCTGATCAGGTTCCCTGTCTGCTCAAAACCTCCAGACTACTTCCTACCCCACCTCGAGCCAAAATCCTCAGCGCTGCCTACAATCTCTCTCCTGCTCTCCTCTCTAACCTTGCCTCCTCCTGTCTTTCCCTCCTTCATTCTGTTCCAGCTACTGGCTCTTTGCTGCTCTCTTACCATTCCAACTTAATCCCCCCTGCCCGGCTTTGTTCCCACAATTGCCCCCAGGTATTCACAAGGCTCCATCTTTCTCTTCTCTAAAATGTTGCCTCTTCAGAGGGGTTTTCCTGGTAACTTCCCCCTGCCACTCTATCCCCTCACCTGCCTTATTTTTATCCACAACATTTATCACTGTATGATGTTATAATATGCATTTATTTGTTCCTTTTCTAGAATATAAGATCTGTGAAGGCAGCAGTCATGTCTATGTCGTTCACCACTGTGTCCTCCACACTTAGCGCAACTTGGCACGTAGATGTGTAGGGATCCCGAGCCAGCCGTGACATGAAAGGACACAGGTCTATACTTGAAGTGACAGCCAGTCCTGAATCTGCCGTTACCTGCTTAGGTGACCTTGAGTGAGTCACCTCACTTCTCTTCTCTGGGCCTCAGTTTCCTCATTTGTAAAACAAGGCAGTCGCTAAGACACCTTCAATTCAACCATCCTGGAAGGTCTTCCCTGTTCCGATGTCACTTTCTTCCCTATAGAATCTGAAAGTCCTTGAAACAGACATAATTGTGTTTATTTATTTACTTATTGAGTAGTAAACACAGCCACATGGCTCCAAGTCCAGAGGTGCAAAGGAGACCCATTTGTCTGTCCTACCTTTCCTGCAGCCATCAGTTCCCCTTTCCAGAGGCAATCAATGGCAAGTTTCCTTTCTCAGTCTCTCTCTCTCTCATCTACTTATCTCTAAACCCTATTCCACCACTTTGAAACACATAGCTTAATTATACATAGTTCTGTCCTTTGTCTTTTGTTCACGGAATAGCACTTTGGGAGATCACTCCGTGTCAGTGCAGAGAGATTGCCCTTGCTCTTTTTCATGGCTTCACAGCCTTCCCTTGCATGGATGGTCCATACTCTACTTCACCAACCCCCTAAATTAAACGGGGAGTTAGGTTGTCTCCAGCCTGTTACAACAATCCGTTAGTGAACACACCATTTTGGGTATCTGAAGACTAAATCCATTTGCTGATGGAATGGTATGTGTGTTTATAATTTAGATAGATGTCTCTGTAGGGACCATGCCAATGTCTCCCACACATACTGGCACTGAGTAAAAATGCTTGTAAAGGGGCTTTTAAAATGGACTGCAATATGGCCTCAAGACTCCTTGCAGATGGGGAGATCACTCCACCTTGCTAAGCCTGTTTCCTCTTCAAAAAAATTATCCTACTTCATGATGTGTGGTGGTGAGGATCAAATGAGAAAGTGCTCAGCACATTTCCTGGCACACATTAGGGCCTCTATAAAGATTAGCCACTCCTCCTCTGCTTAATGTTATTATCTGCCCCCAGACTGTGGGCTCTCTGGGAACAAGGACCTTGTCTGCCCTGTTCACTGCCGTAGCACAGCTCCAGGCTAATGGAAGGTATCCAATAATTACTTATTGAGTGAATGAGTCCACTTCTCAATGTCACTTTGCCCACCAGGCCCTCCTTTGTGACCTAGCTCCTGCCTACCCATTCAACTTCATCTCCTATCCCTTTTCCCCCTTCTCCTTGGGCTCCAGCTACACTGGCCTTCAGGTTCCGTCCTGCCACAGTGCCTTTGCACGTGCTGTTCCCCCTGCGTGAAACAATTCCTCTACCTCACTTTCACCCATAGCCTCTCCATTTGCTAAGGTGAGAACGTTGGGACGTGTTGGGGGACTAGGGCTCAAGAATTGTGG